AAGCACTTCCTCCTCCGTGAATGGAATATCAATCCTATCACTATCCAACATAGAAATAGAATTAAAAGGAAGACCATCAAGAGTAGGTCTCCAAACCAAAGTCTCAGCGTAAAGTTGCTGATAAAAAGAAACGATCCCCCCACGCACCTCGTCCTCCCTCCACAACTCAGAACCATTGACCCGGATACGCCCGATGTGATTACATCTTCTGTGAGCGTTAGCAAGTCTATGAAAGAATTTTGTATTACGATCTCCATCTTTTAACCACAAAGCCCGAGACTTCTGGCGCCATGAAATCTCCTCCATAAGAGCAATCTCAGCAAAAACTGCAAAAACCGCTTGGCTAGAGGCTCTTTTAGAGCGTAATGATTCCCCACCCTGTCCTACCTCATCAAGACGATCGAGCTCAGCAATATCAGCAAGAACTCTATTCTTCTTCCATTCAAGATTCCCAAACTCTTCTTTATTCCACCTCTTTAACTCAGTTTTAAGAAACTGAAACTTTCTAGCTAACACATAACTAGCAGAGCCTGTGAAATTCGCTTCCTCCCACCAAGACTGAACCTTCCCTTGAAAGTCCTCGGATCTAAGCCACATGTTTTCAAAGCAGAAAGGAGTGCGTCTAGAACTCAAACCACCACAATCAAGAACTAAAGGCACATGATCAGATGTGACTCTAATCAGAACAGCCTGAGAGACATCCGGGAAATGCTCTTCCCACGCCCCAGAAATCAGAGATCTATCCAACCGGGAAAAAGTAGCTAGTTCCCTACCATTAGACCAAGTAAAGGCCGCTCCTTCCAATGGTAGGTCAATGAGAAAATTACTATCAATGAATTCTAAAAACATGGTCATTTCTGAGGACCACCTGCCCCTTGTGGATCTCTCAAATGGGGACCGAACAGAATTAAAATCCCCACCTAAACACCAAGGTAATGACCATAAATCCTTAACATAGCAAAGCTCTTCCCACAGGACTAGTCTATCACTATCAATAACAGGCCCATAAACACCTGAAAACACCCATCTGAAATTGTCTTCCTCCATCTGAAACAAACAAGACACAGAAAAAATACCCTTCCAACAATTCAAACTTGACAACCACCTACGATCCCACATAAGAAGAATACCACCTGAAGTGCCTGTTGCGTTTAGCACTTCCCATTCCACAAACCTATCTCCCCTAAGACTCCTGACAATCTCAACAGTGATAGCAGCCATTTTAGTTTCCTATAAACAAACGACATGGGCACTCCACTTCCTCAAAGCAACCTTGACAACTTTTCTTCTTTTCGGATCATTTAGACCCCGAACATTCCATGTTATAAGTCATAGCTTCATGTAGAACCAAAAACGATCAATTCTCCCCCTCCTACCCTTTTACCACTTCTGGTTCTTCCCCTTTCTTTGGTCGTCCCATTCTTCCCGTCATAATTAACACAAGAAATCAAATTCTTCACTTCCTATTCGCCTTTCCGATGTGAATTTCTGACTTTGATTTCTTTTGTGCCACGATTAGGTTCAGTGCTACCATTTCCTGCAACAATATAGTGTAGAATAGACGAGGTTTGTTCCTCATACCCTTCTGAAGAGACACCCAAAGCTTCACTTACTGCTCCAATATTCTCAATAACCCATTCCATACCCAGATCAGTGTTCGTCTCCAAACAATCCGGCCATACAACTGCCAGAGGTTCCATTAAATCCACTTCAGATTGATCAAAATCCGTCCCGGAAAAAGAATCATTAGAACAATGCTGCTGAGAAGGAACATCAACCACTCCTAACTGCATATTCCCCTCTGTTACCGAATCATCATGTTCAGTTAACAAAATCACCTCATTCGCAGATGATTGACTGTTCAAACCTTCAAACGCAACAAAGAGCCGAAGCTCTTTAAGCAGAGCTACAGCTGAGTCATTATTCAACTTGAAATGCAGATCTTTCCCAACACAAACTGTCACTCCATTGAAACAACCCACACTCCCAGTTGTGGCTTTTGAGACATCCAACTCTGGCCCATCACACAATGAACCTGAAGACCCAATTATACCCCTCTGTTGAATCGAAACATCTTCCACAACGTCCCTATTATTCACCTCTCCACCCGAAGAAGAAGAAGTAGAAGTAGAGAGAGCATTTTGAGAATGATTAGAACTCAAACCTGAAAATGAAGTGTTAGCTCGTGCAACCCATTTTTGTTTTTCATTCCGAGTCCACCGAGATCCATGGCGACCCACATCCACTATCCTCCGCTCGGGCTTCAGCAAATGAGTCGAAGACTTAGCATGGGCTTGTACTTCTTTAAATGGCTTAGGGCCAGGTTTGGTGTTTGCGAAAGAGACAAATACAGAGTTTGGCCCTTTTCGCACCCTTCTATTAGGCCCAGATCTAATTAGCCCAGCCTGAATCCGCCCACTTGGCCCGAATTTAAGCAGTCCTTTCTGTACCCGTCAAAAAAGCCCAGAACCAAAACTCGCTCTATTGGGTTTAGGCTGAATAAGCCCAAAATTAAGATTAGGCCCAATCCTGGCCTGTCTAGACATCTTCTGGCCCATCACATCGCCATCCTCAGCCCAAAAAGACGAATCCTCCCCTACCCTATCATCTAAGGATAAGGCCAAATCTGGATGAGCACCCCGTCGATCTCCACGTGTACTCCTTCTCTGCTCATCAACGACGCGTTTAGCCGGCGCGTGAAGATCGCTTCGTCTTCTACCTCCTATGTACTTCACTTCTTGCTGAATTTCGCGATCCTAAAGCCAATGCTGGATTTCAAGAACCCTCTCTTTTCCTTTACTAAGAGTCTCATTCCATTTCTCTTCCAACATGAGATGAGATCCGTCATTACCTTCAAGACTCTCCGTTGAAGGAACAAGCTCCGGCGAGATTTCTTCCCAAATAGCAACCTTGAAACAGAAGGTGTCGTCATTAATAAACACGAACTTTGGACATTCACGACCGGATCTCACTGTTATCCGAACGCTTTCGGCATCCCTAGTCTCATCCGCATCAAATCTCACATATCCACCACAAATCTCTCCCACTTCGACGAACAAAGCATGACACCAGAGATGCAAAGGAAGGCCAAACAGCCTGATCTGCTTGAGACCTTTGTCACTAAGAACGCCACAACACTCAACACGGAAAGCCACACGTCGATCCTCAAAGTTGCAGAACCCCACTGCCGTCGCCCTTCTTTCAACATGGGTTCGGCCTCTGCCTGAGACGGAAACCGGAAAAGAAGCAGTGAATAGGATAATGGTGTTACCCCCACTCCACAAGTCGTATTCCAAGCCTGCGCTGTCCATTCTTTCACACGATCACAACTTCTCACTTCTTTATCAAATCTTCCGACCAAACAAGAGGAAAGGATTGACTTCCCTCCTCCGACGGACTCCCCGTCAACATACAACGACGGTCCTCAATGAGGAACTGCCGACTTCACTTCCCCACCAAGCGAAATTCTTGGTAATCTTGCAATTTCCAGAAAAGATTTCATCCCAACCAAGCAAAACTCAAATCGCCCGACAAGTCGCTCCTATCATGGTGAAATCGCATATAGTGACGTCTACCTTATTATGTTAGAGGATTTAAATATTAAAGTTACAACCTCTCTAATAGCTTAAGTTTTCAGAGTAGATCGTTGTTAACAAACCCCATCTTAAATCTACAATCACAACGTCAATGTTGATGCAAACCGTCCACTGAAATGACACCAGATATAGACCACGACACAATTTTTGCTCAAAGAATATGCTAACACATTACACTATTTTCTCCCAACACCAAATCACACAAACAAACAATAACCGGATGTTACTAGTAATAGAGTTCTCAGAGCAAATTGAAGAGTGGATCGCGTTAGGAGCGGGTGCAATAGCAAAGTTTGAGGAGAGTGTCTGGCGTAATCTAGGTAAGAGGTAACTAGGGAATTTTTGGGTATTATTCATATTTGATTTTTGCTCTCTATATATAAATAATTGATATTACTGCATTTGAAGTATAATTGCTAGAATTTAAAAATCAATTATTGTTAGTTAAAATTTTAACAAAATCTATTCACTACTCTAAATACTTAAACAACGATCCTAATCTTAATTAGTATCAAGCATGTCAATTGGTAAATCCTCACAAGGGAACAAACTCGTGAAATTAAACCGCCAGCAAATATGGATCTTTTATGTGTCTTCGCATCCTAAAAAATGGAGAAAAATTAACACAATGCAAGGTAGAAAAGTAGTAGCTATGTGATTTGGAAACCAAATACTGACAGAACAAAGAGAATTTGTGAGATGTAGCTTCATCCTTGCAAAAATGAATCCTAAAGGATTATAGGGAAGATTGCTAGATTCTTTTTTTCTTCTCTTTAATTTCTATTCACAGCCCCAAACAAACTCTATTTAATGATTTTTATCACCAAAAGACTCTACCATACCAAGCCATCAATCAACCTCAACTTTTTCTAACCTTTTGGCCCGTCATTTAACAACCAAAAAATCTAACAATAGTTCTTATCCTTGCCCACTCTTTTATGGATTTTCTGCAACCTATCACTTTGAACAAAGCCAATTCTAACTATTTTTCATCCTTAAATACCACATACTTTCTCCACATACTAAAAGCCTAGAAGGCTTTCTTAGGTGTATGTCAAGCATAAAATCAATAATAGAAAGCACTATTCTAAGTTTCCAAGTGCTTACTACATCATTCAATCAATCAGATGTGCAAGGATGCTCCCTTTCTTTTCCAAATAGGAGTACCAAAACTCAGAAAAGAAGTATAAAAATAAAATATATTTATGAGATGAAAAGCTTAGTGCATCTCCGATAGTTTAACTGTGAAATCTAACAAAAACATGAGTAATAACATGCAACTATAAACAAGAAAATAATTTTATCATTTCTCTTATTTCTGGAGAACAGAAACTATTTGAGAGGAGAAATTTTGGATACAGCAAATTTAAGTTGTCTATTTCATGCTTAGTAGTTAGAAAAGACCTTCAGATTCATGTAATCACGGCTTAAGATGTGCCTTCCATCAGTTGCAAACTTTATATCAGATATGGATGCAATGATTTCTGTGAAAAATGATTTAGATCCACGGCATTCCCCATCTTGTAATCTGTAAAAATCAAAATTTAAATGACGAGTATCAGAACATGTTATACATTGTGGTACATTTAGAAAACTTGTGACAAGCTGAAAATGACATCATAAGTCATAACATTGATGCCATTGGAAAGGAAACAGAAACATCAGCTAAAACATACATCCTTGCACTGTGATCACATACTGCTGACTGTCGCATGTCTACTAGCCGAATAAAACCCCTTGAACTGCTGTAAGCGAGCAGATTGCAGTGAAGTGGATGAAATTCAGCTGATGTTATCACCTCTGAACAAAAATAAAAAGATCAACCATAAAAATATACTGATTGAGAAAAAAATCAGGTCTTAGAAATGACCATGATGTACTTCAGATGTGTCATCTATTCTTTTCTTTGACAGATGACTGATATCATAAAGGCACTGTTGCATGTAAATCACCTAGACACTTAAAATTGATCCTGAAACAACAATATTCTGACAAGCACGTTTAATTATGAATCCTTAGCTGTTTGAATCACAAAATTAAGATAACGAAAACATGGGTTCTGGTCTAAGAGTCACTATATGTAAAATAATGCCTCAGATTAGGTCTATAGCCAATCCACATCTCTGGCAACCTGCAAAAATGGGACCAACGCTGCATAAACCTTACAATGAGTCCAATAAATAGATTGTGAAGCTCTTCCAAGTTTATTCTAGAACATGAAGATCTAAGAAATGACATGGAGAAAGACAAGAACCCACTTGTTAAAAAGGAAAACGTTGATTACATTAAGTAGGGACACACAAATTTCATCAAAACCCTTTTTCCAGAAGGGAGATGCGCCCAGCATAATTAATATCACAACCCCAAGCATAAAATTTGACCTGGTCAAAGAGCATTTGGACATTGTCGAAATTCCTAAATGATGCCTGAATTAATGGTTTTAGTTGAGATGGTGATTCTATAAACAACCTAGTGATTGTAGGTGGAGGTGGTAGGTGTAATACCTTGCAGAAAATGTATATTTTGAACTTAATCACATCCAAATAATTTTGAGCGCATTCAGTAACAGAATTGAGTTGTAAAATCAATTCCAAATGCATTCCATAGATCAATCCAAATAACAGAATTCAAACTTTGTGGAATTCCAAATATAACAACTGAAATCACATCAAAAACCAATTCCATACCAGTCTACATCAGTTCATGCCTACAAGATACAATTCTAAAGCATTTCTAGGGAAACACTCATTTTGTCAAAGAAATCAATTTTGCAAAGATTATGGGTTTCAAATCAACCTTATACGCAGGTGGAAAGTGGTTGCCAAATATATAACCTAGAAATAATTCTGTCTTGAAGCTTCTTTTGCTCCATCATTATGATTATGTCCACCCTTTTTTTATTATTATTTCAGTATTCATCAAAGATGCAAAATAAAAAATGATAAAACAATAGAATATGTGAAAAATGAATAAACTTAAAAAAGGTCCTATGCAATATGTATCGCTATTATGATGAATAGAAGATTATCAAAATTACCTGTAAGATCATCCATGTTCAATGGCTTCATGTCGATGATATTGAAACACTGATCACTGACCTCAAGGTTCCACAAGTTTATCCTTAGGTCATCAGCAGAAACAAATGTTTCGCCGTCACTGCACAAGGTTTACAACACCAAGTCATCAGCTTAGAGGCTGCAGAAAATTTATCCTTATTAATTACTTTTACTTTACAAGATCCTTGCGGAGATTACATCAAATCATCATCCATCAATTTATCCCTCGCTAATTACTTATACTTCGCAAGATTCTTTGTGCCTCTGCAACTTAAAATATATTTTAAGGTAAGCACTTGAATTTTGCATAGAGAGATCGGTTTATTTAATCAAGATTTGAAGGGAAGGAAAAGGGGTGAGAAGTATGAAGGCTTCCATTTGAATCCTTTTTTTGTATGGCAACTGATAAGAAATTAAGTTTAAAGCAAGGAAATATATATATATATATATATATATATAGCATAAAGATATTGATTACAAACTTTACCTATTATTTGAGATAGAGTTAATATTAAAATCATGAGCATGAGCGTACACCTTTCGACATCTTGCACGAGCAGCATCTCCAGTATTTGGTATCTAGTTACACAACAAGATGGTATTATTATTTTGAATACTACTCCTAGTGAAACCTACAGCTGAGAAAGAATGCTAACAAAATCTTACAAGTGCTCCCAAATACCTACTTTGGTAAGGTCTTCATGTGATGGCGATATTCTGTTGTCCATTTTCTCTGTCCATTCCAAACAGTAACCATTGGTAAGAGATGGCTTATGCTGCCCACTAACAAAACTCCCTTCAGCCAAAAGTGTATTCTCTGAACACACAAATGGGTTAAGGTCCATTTCTTTGACTTTCTTCACTTTGTGTTCCTTGATCTGGCTTTGAAAACCACAAAATGAATTAAGTTAGCACAGCTATGGTAAAAGAGCAGTCGAATAGGGTCCCAGGTCCAATTTATAACTTATGTACCAGATAAAGCTAGAACGGAAGGAAGATAACTTGCAGACCAGCTTCCAATGTATAACCTCTGGTGATAGTCAATAAAATGGTTCTCCACAATCATTAGTAATTACTTTGCATTCTTTTTTCATTCCTTTTGGTGTGAATGTGAAACAATTAAAGAAGAAAATAGACCAAGGATCATAAACAGATCCTATGCTCCAATTCAGCTATTCAGTTAAGCTACAGACAGAAAGCTGGGCCCCTTAGGCAAATTATTCCTTGTAATCCTCGACTGCATTTACAGTTCTTTCCCATTCTCTATAGATGAGGATACCTCTGCTTCCATTTCAGGTGCATACGCAAAAGGTTATGATCCCTTGTTTGCTTCTTTCATATGATTAGATTCACACAAATATATGCATCAAGATTTGATCACGTTACAGTGGCTGACTTATGTCCATAACAACCATATCAACATTAGAATTTAATTTAATTTCCCATCACTTTGAAGCATGATATCAGCCTTATAGAGAAAACTCAATGCAACCAGTCATTTATGTAAAAACATATGTAGTAAAAAATACTGCCCTACAGTTAAATATATTTTTAAGTGGACATTGAGTATCATGATATACACATTTTCAATTTATTTTTACATATGTCTAAAATTATTTAAAGAAAATTTTGTTACTCCAAGCTTGGTTTCACATACCACGGAAAATGGAATGTAAATTCTGTTATTTCAAAATCTTTTGAGATCACAATCAAACAACTTGAAAACAGAATAAAAAATATAAAAAACGCAAGTTATCATTTAAACAATTTCCGGATATATATACATATTTTTTGATAAGTAGCAATTTCCGGATATTTTTACCATAAAGAAAGCAATAGAGAGCCTTAAAATAAGATCTAATTGCTCTACAAAATCCATACCTTCCATAGTTTTATCGTCTTATTATTTGTTGAAAGGATAAAAACTGATCCATTGGGTGTGTCGCGCCATCTCAGTTTATTGATCTTCTCTTCAATTTCCAAACTCTTCAGATAATCAAACTATAGAAAAGGTAATACCATCAGGATCTGCAACCCCAAATACATGAACCATTTTAACAGAAACAACAGAAAATTGTACAAGGCTCATTTCTTGGTGGCAAAGGTCGGACTAACAAAAGTGAGGACGACTTTGGGGCAAAATAATGCCAAAAGTTATGTGCATCACCACTCTCTCCCTCCCATCACCCCTGTAAGTGGGACCAGCAATATAATGGCTATATACCCCCCAAAAAGAAACTGCATATTAGATGTCATCGAGTAATATATAAAGCACACCTCAGGCTCATGACTCTGAAATTCAGTCTTGTATTGAAATTTAGGATGCTGCATAGCCATAAAATCCAATTGCTCCAATTCACTTCGAGAGTAGTCCTTACCAGAAACCTAAGAGAACAAAATTTTAAAAATATAATAAGTCAAAAATCTGATTTATCCAACATCGAATAAAATCAATGGATTTGCCAACCTTTTAAAAATGAGATAAACCAAAATGAATCTAGAAAATCTTGCTAGGTTGTAAGCATTTATAGAAGCAAACACATATTTGTCTACATAACTAACAAGGGCCCTAACCTATTATTACTCCTTCACCTTTCCAAGTAGAAGAATGAGGGTTCAAGCCCCCATAAAAACGAAATGGTTGTGTGTGTTAAACAAGGAAAAATCAAATCTCACATTTTTACCAGCCTTGCTTTCAAAAATTACAACACGGCCACCTCTATCGCCAACAGCAAGATAATCACCGCTCTTCTCGAAGTCAATTGCAGATATGACGTCAACTATAAGAAAAACCAAAATTTATGATATCAAAAACTGACCGAGATAATGTCAAACAAATCTACAACAAAAAATATGAAACTGTTAATTAGTATATTGTTATACCATCCAGTTGCATAATATAATTCATTAATTATCCAATAATTTTACCTTCCTAAAAAAAATTATCCAATAATATTAAGAATTCTTTCTTACTATTTCCTACGTTAATTCGGAATCTGCAGTGACATTGTAGTGATGATCTTAAGGCAGAAAAGGGAGTATGATCGAGCTAGCAGTCTGTGTAAGCCTCAATAAAAGCTTCACACTAACAGCTTACATAGACAATAGGAACTATAATCAGAAAGGGAAAAAGGGGTCTTAATACGTGCAATTCAAACAAACATACCAATACAGGCTTTGAGTGAAATGACAATTAAAAAAATTAAAAAATCCACAATTCAATAAACATAGGTTATGAGATTTATAAGAAATATAATAATGTAACACAATAGTGTTAAGCAAGGAAATCTAAACAACTAAGAATCAACCGTGAAAGAGTAAATGGATTATTCAAGAAACCCTAGTAGTGAGTGTAAAGATACTCTAGCTTCAAAATCAGATACACAACGCACAGATGCATCTATGTGTGTGTGTGTGCTCATATATATAGAGAGAGAGAGAGGGAGAGAGAGAGATGTGAATTACTGTCTTGAACTTCCTCTCCGGGACTTTGTTCGCCGAAAACCTGAGAAAATTTCCAGTCTCTTGTAGGAGGAGAGGACTCTGTGCTGAAAGTCATGGCTGAGACTACAACGACGACGTTTAATTCGAGGTCACAAGATCGCCATCAGCATGTACTCGGAATTTGGGAACGCAAAGCAAGCAAATAACTGAATAGCAGTAGTAGTTTTTCTTTTTGAGAGATTCAGATTCTGATTCTCTGTGCTTTTCTTTTCCAATTATCCACTCAATTTTTCCCGGGAAAATGTTTCTCGATTTTGTACTACCAAGAAATGTACTAAATAAATAAAATGAAAGTGCAAAAGTGTAACAAGTGGTGTTTGCTTATTTACCCAAAAGCTCGAATTATTGGATAGTGCTGCATATTCACCCATTTATACACACTTCAATTCCCATCCAAATCTAATGTGGGACAAGTTTCACTTGTAACATTCTCCCCCATCCGAACTCACCCACGCAACGCCCTCGTTGCGGTCAGACCATCCTATCTACCCGGAGGCAGACCCGGACGTCGGGGCCGAGTGCTTGGCGTGACACCAGATTAAGGATTGGGTCTGGCTCTGATACCAACTGTAACGGGTAGGCGCTTGTCTATTTACCCAAAAGCTCGAACTATTGGGTAATGCTGCATACTCACCCATTTATACACACTTCAACCCCATCCAAATTCGACGCGGGACAAATTTCACATGTAACAAAAAAAGAAATTACCACCTTGAGTCAGGGTTGACCGGTTGAGTGGGGAATGAGTGATTTTGATTTAACTAAAAATAAATAAATAAAAGTGAATTTCCCTTATACATGTCAATAATTAAAGAAAAAAAAAGTCAATATTTGGTTACATAGCATTGAATTTAAATATATCAGTGTTTCAATATTTTAGAATTAGTGTCATTTTAAATGTAGTATATGAATATAAACTCACAGAGTCATCTTATTTACAATTTTAATTATAAATAATCATTAAATGAGGTGCTTATTCAATTAAGTACATTTGATAAAGCAAAATGAATATCATTAAAAATGATAAGCACTATTTAAAATATATAAGAATATCACTTAATACTAAATGCTGAAATTTTTTTTTTTTTTTAAATAATAAAAATATTTTTTAAAAAATTACCACTTAAAAACTTTAACATTTCAAATTCAATTCTTAAAATTTTCAGTATTTAATTTTAGTTTTATCAACAACAAAATTATAATGTTGTGCTTATTACTGAATCTCTGGATCGTTGTTGCTTACAAATTCTTTAAAAACTTGCAATTTTCAAACAACACGTGATAGCTAAAAAATAAAAATTATAACCAATCACAATGGTGACTGTAACGATTGTGACTAAAAATCTCGTGATAATATGCATATAAATTACGTTTTCTCATACTCTGAGCGAGGTTACGAATCTTCACAACAAGATCACTAATTATTAAGCTAAACTCAAACTTGATCATGTCAAGCTCGAATTTAGTTTTGCTTGAAAACGAGCCGAGCTCGAGCACTTCCCTCACAATAGTGAACAGAGCCCAAACAGCTCTAAACTCTACTCCGCTTGGCATGTTTGTTAATAAATAAATAAAAAAAAGTCATTTGAACCTTACTAGCCTTTTGGGCCCGGTGTTAGTAGCAGGCCAGAGATTGGCTCATCAGTGGGCCAGATCTAGGCCCGTCTTCCACCAAAACTAATATAACACAAACCACACGTGCTGCACTTTGGGGAGATTTACATGTACAATAAACATCGGCTGTCATAGTTCGTTGTCGTAGACGTCCTTACAAGTAAGTGCCTTAGTCCCACCAAACTTAACGGTAATTTTTTTTTGTTTTCTGTTCTTCAATTCTCAATGGGCGGAAGCTTATTACTTGTATATGTGTATTTCATGTATCTTGTTCAATCTGTCTTTCTCAATGAGATTCTAAAAACGAGTAGAACTTCAATTTGCGTTCACAAGCTGTTTGACGAAATGCCCAACTGTGCTTGAATGCCCATACTTGTTTACAGTATTGATAATTTTGTGTTGTATTTGTTTGGTAATGATTTAGGTATGGATGTGGCACATTGCTATCTAGATGGCAACGCCGATGCCGTGGAGTTCTGCCCACATGACCCTTTTCACCATGTTCTTGCAGCTTCGACGTACACACTGCAAGAGGGTGATCAACCCAGTCGATCTGGTAGTATATCGCTCTTCGATTTCAATGCTGACGTGGGCTCCCTTGATTTGTTTCATCGTGTGGACACAGCCGGCATCTTTGATATTAAATGGAGCCCAGTTGGAGCTAATAATATAGGTACACTGCTTGCTCAAGCAGATGCCGATGGTTACTTGAGGGTTCATAGTCTAGAATGCTCTTCAGATGGATCAAACTCTACAGGTATGAGAAAATGTGATATTTGGGATATTAGCTTTAATCCTATACATTATAGACTTTAAACTTCAATGCCATTGTGAAAAAATAATAGGACCAATAGTTCGTTATTTAATACTCTGACCGAGAGTTTATCAGTATTTATCAAATCTGTTCATATCAAATGGAACGCTATTGGATCACATGACAAAGCCATTGCTGGGAAAAAAGATGATTTTTTCCAGATGAAATGGAAATTGGCTTCATGTAACAGGAGAAAGATTTCTCATTTTTTAGCTAGAAAGATATGTGATGATGAAAGATGGATTAAGTGGAATATAATTTGATTGGATGATGGGATGCATTTTGATTATTCAGGCATTTGGTTTCAAACAAAATTTTCCATTGAACTATTAATTTTTGACTTACTGGAAAAAGGTGACAGAAAAGAAGGAAACTAGGAAAATGCATCACCTATAGTTAAAACTCAAAACCCATCTAATCAGGCTGATTTGGTTTTATCTGCTTCTTGGAGTGTGTGACAAAGCTAAAAGAAAATCCTGAAAATGACTTATTTCTTAAACTTTATCAAGCAATCACTTTCTTTTTTGTTCATTCTTGATGAGAACAAAACACTTCTAACAAACACGTATGGAATGATTGATCTTAATTCTTCATATATTGTATGAGTTCTTGTTGAGATGAAAAATTTCGGAGGTTCAGCAAAAAATTGGGTTTCGTTTCGGGAGGATGAAAGCTACTCGGAATAAACTAAATGAAGCTCTCATTATTTAACCTTAAAAAATTTAAGTGGCATAGAAGCAAGTTCTCAAGGTGATATTAACTATAAAATAGATTGCGAAACATTATCTGTTAATTGATTTTTTGTTTCCTCCTAGTTGTTTCCCATGTACTTCATCCTTGTGGACATCAAGGAAGGCTGAAGGAAAAACTTCAGCTTCTACATTAAGGCAAACTAAACTAATAGTTTTGTGGAGCAATAAGTAGTACAAACTTGAACTATGAGATTTCTGAGAATGTGTATATATATGTTTTCAATTTCTTTTCTTTTTTGTTCCTTGCTACCCCGGCACATGTGTCCTGTGGTTTGGAGTTCACTTCTCTACAATATGAAGAAATATTACATTTTTTTTTCCCTAAACGTGATTGAATTAAACGAAAAGAACCATACAAAACAAGAAAGAGTGCATACCCTCCCATTACAACCTCCCTTGAGTAAGCCCATTTCCAAAACCGAGAAAGAATGAAAATTAAGATGATAATGAACTTAACAAGGCCATCTAAACTAATCACAATATACCACCCCCACCCAGCAAAAACTTCATTACTTCCCCAAATTAGAAGGAAACCTCTATCCTGTAACAAATCATGAATAAACCAAGGCCACAATAAGAGGAAAAAAAAATCCACTTAATCATTGAACCTACTTCTGTAATTCAATGTGATGCACACCCCTTATTCAAAAACTTCCCAAACAACCATTCTGGCCACCTGAACAGCAGATGGGGCTTCACCTTGGTGCAAGTTCAGATTTCTACTTCTCCATATGCCCCATACAGTAGATGTAAAAATCATTCTGCAAATTTTATTCCTCTTTGAGTCTTGATTAAATTTGGACTGAAACCAGTAGATCAGCTAATTCCAGGAATTTATTGAGATTGATCCAGTTCTGTTGGAAGGTGTCCAATAACCATTCCCATGTCATAGCAGCATAAGAGCAGCCAAAGAATAGGTGTTCCACAGAATCCACAGCCTTGAAACAATTATGACAAATTGGAGTTAAACAAATACATCACAACTGCATATGTGTCAAAGATGGAATTTTGTTCTGAAGAATTACACAGGCAGTCATACAAGCTGCAGGCCTCCCTTGATTCCAGCAAAGTTTATGACATTCTCTTTGACTGTGATTAGTGATCAATTTCTTCCAAACTTCTTTAAATGATAGTGCATCCTGTTTCCAGAGAATTCTGTCAGATCCTGATAGAGCTTACGAGTTTCAATTTGATTCCATACGTCGTCAGCTTTAGTTGTCAGGAACCTAGGCTTCCTCCATCTACTGTCTTGATTACTTCAATTAAATTTGCATCTTTAGCTTGATCAAATTGCCTCAATCCTGTGGCCAAAAGCTTTAGTCAAGGTCTGACCCTTCCGCCAATGGTCCAAAAACATTTTTATTTTCGACCATTCGCAATATTGGTACTTGGAATGAATTCATCCCTAACTTCCAACAAATTCTTCCAAAAATGAGAAAATCTGTTCCTATATACACAACTCCATATTGATTGGATATTAGCCCTCAAAGCTTGAAACCAAGCTATCCACACTCTATCTTTACCCTGTAGAAAGTCCCAAAACAAAACATCGTTAGCAGCTCTATCAATCTCCTTTCCTGGGACCAAACCCTCCTTCTGATTTGGGTATAGTCACTTGACTTCATTTCATAAGATGATTTTTTTGGCATTTTCTTTACTTCCCCATATGAATGTTTTCAACATCTTGTCTATCTTAGCAATGATCTGATTGGCAATATTACATTTTTTCTTGATGCAGGGATTTTCCTGAAAGAGCTTAGTGATGCACGAGTTAGTTCCTCCATGTGCCTGTGCTTGGACTGGAATCCCTCAGCAACGTCCATCTCAGTGGGGCTTTCGGATGGTTCAGTATCAATAATATCTTTTCTGGAATCCCAACTAAATATACAACAAGAATGGAAAGGACATGAATTTGAGTTGTGGGCGACTTCCTTTGATATCCACCATCCACAACTGGTATACACTGGTTCAGATGACTGCAAATTCAGTTGTTGGGATTTGCGGGATGGTCCGTCAAAGTTGGCATTCCAGAATGCCAAGATCCATAAGATGGGCATTTGTTGCATTGCAAAAAGCCCTAGTGACCCCCATTCCTTACTTACTGGTAGCTATGATGAGTACCTAAGGGTATGGGATGTGAGATCAATTTCAAAGCCCATAAATGAAACATCTATCTGTTTAGGTGGAGGAGTTTGGAGAATTAAGCATCATCCCTTTGTACCAGGCCTAGTCTTGGCTGCATGTATGCACAATGGGTTTGCAGTGCTCAAGATTAATGGGGATAAACCCGAAGTGATTGAAACTTACAGTAAGCATGGGTCACTTGCATATGGAGCAGATTGGCAGAGAGGTGAATTGTTCCCGGAAGGAAAAAAGATGAATACTGCAATAGCTACTTGCTCGTTTTATGACCGTCTTCTTCGAGTATGGATGCCAGAAAGCGAAATAGCAACGTGACTTGGTAACACATTTCATAGGCTGAGTTCAGATGGGTTCAACAGTAATGCGTTTGGGGGCCTATATAGCATACTTGATTGGATATTTATTAGCTGTGAATTTCGTGAGCCTTGTTAAACACGTACCAAATCAGGTATGGTGATTTTGCGAGCTATTTTACTTGTCCAGTAACTCTTTTTTTTTTTTAATCTTGAGATATGTCTTTTCATGTTGAAACATTACAAGAACATTTCTGGAAAGCAAGACATATCGAATGATATAGCATTGATTTCAAATTCATGAACACTTTGCTTGTGATGCTCATATTGCAATAACCAAGTGTGGTAAGGCCTTTGTAGTGGTGTTACACTGGTGAACCTGTGTTGCTTTGAGAAATTAGGGAAACAAAATGAATCTTCCAATACCGCTATAAAGTTATAGGTGGCTATTTTATTTGGTTGCAATACTTTGGTATATATGGTCTCGTCGATTAACAATTTCATGCATCGTTACAAACCATAAGGACCTCATTATAGAGAGCCTGCTCTAATTTTGGAATCTGTTTTATGCATAGCAGTACTTGAAGTCAAATAATAGAGCAGTAGGGGATTTAATACAGGCCTGTGTTGATTCAAAATTTGGTTCATGCGTTAGATTTGCAAATAATGAAGGGGTTACCTTTTCGTTCATTTTTTTTTTCTTTTCCTTCCTCAATTAAAATAAAAAAAAAAACCTCAAATAGTTGGAAAAATGTTTTGTTGAGTCGACTTAAGTCGAGTTATCATAATAATGGGGAAAGTTCGAAGTGACAAGTTTGAGGTGCAAATTCGAATTTGAGAGAAGTCACTTTGTGTCCAATAATGAGACGCTGAATATGTAAAGCTTCCATTCTTCCTTCTTATATGTCACAGGAGCAGAAACAGGAACATTCCTAGTACCATTAGCAAATGCACTAGGTTTTAAGCATATGCCCGTACAACTTATTATGACTATTTCTTTAAAAATGTTTTTAATAAAGTTTAAACCTGGGTTATCCACAATATAATTAATGACAATAGTAATAATTTTTTTCCTCTCTCTCTATCTTGTTTTGTTAAAATTAAAAGAAAAAAATATATTTCCACCGCCATAAAATGAGAGTAGTGATATGTTTTCATCTTGCCCCTATATGTGCCTTTAAATTTGTATGAGCTTGTGATACATTGTTCTTGTTTTATGCCAAAACGACTGGGTTCTGGCTGTACAACAGTCACATTGTATTGCCAACGAGGTTGAGCTGGTCTGTTAATTACAATTTCAGTTTCTGGCAAACAATTACCAAGCCAATTAGGTTTAACCATTATTGCTTGGGTATTACAAAATACTTGTGTGTGCGCGCGCGCGCGCGTGAGAGAGAGAGAGAGAGAGAGAGGGTACACTGATTGGGTTAACGGATAACGTATTTGAGGCCAAGCTACCACTTACATAACTACCTGTGTGTTAGAGATCTTCATAGACTTTTGTTCTTTTGCCCTTTCTTGTCGCCAGGCCCTACACTATTAGAAAACAGCTAATGGTCCCTCTCTCTGTCTCATGTCAGGCTCAGTTAAGGTTTATCACTATTGTTAGCCCCACAAGAAAAAGAGAGAAAAGTAGTTGCCATCACTGCAGCAGAGGTGAATTTTGTATCAAAATTCAAAATTATGTATCTCAACAAACTTATATTTTCTTGGATAAGAAATAATCTAAATCGGATCGCAGTGCTTTGAATTTTTGAATATGCAGTTCATTGTATTCAAGCCTTAAAAGCAAGAAAAGTTGATAAAAAAAATAATAATACTCCCTCTTTTCTATAATAGTTGAGTATTTTGGAAATTGTGACTTAGAGTTATGGGCCATAATTCTTAACGTACTTAACTATTTAGGGATGGAGAGAATGCTAAAAAGAGTATACTTTTTATTTTATCGTTGCAAAAAAAAATTCCACAATACACAAAATGAGTTGTGACCTGTGATATTAAAACTAATCTTCAATGAGAAATGGGAGGGAGCTTTTCGTTGAGGGTAGTGTGGAGCCTGATAGATATTGTATACCAAGGCCCAATCAGTGCAGCGTCTCATGAGGAAATAGATATTCGATCCAATTCTCGAATTTTTTGGAGGATTTTTTGATAATTTTCGCACTTGTCATGTTACCCTAGTACAATGATATATATTCATTCTGAACTCTCTGTATCTGTAATGAAATCCCTACAGCCCCTTGGATGTAGGTTTAAATTTTGAAGGAACCACGTAAAATTTGTGTCTTGTTGTGAATGGTTGATCTTTTTCTTGTATTTTTTATTTAATTTTGAACCGTACATGCTATCGCATGTGCAATACGTACGCTTCAAATGAGCTCAGTACACGTGGGAAGCGAAGCACCCAATTCTTTCTCCTGCCATGCCAGCTACAGGTCTTGGTGGTCAATAGACCAAGAGAAATACATCTGTATTATATGTGGGTGATACAGAAGCAAATTAACTGGATGAGTGGGGCCATTGGGTCAGGATCAGCTCACATTGTAGATCACACATTAGAAATAGTGGATATAATGGAAGGCAACAGGCCAGAAAGGAAACACATGGCATCAGTTCTGTCATTTGAAGAAGAAATTGCAGTAGTTAGTATTTTATACTATTATATAGTTTCAATGATCTTTCTTCATGTGCTATCCACACTCTGTTTTTGTGATTTTCATGAGCTTGCCTACTTGGTGTTTCATGCTAAGACAATGAACCTCAAAATATGTCCAGAGCTCACCTGTAGTTCCCAATTGACAATACTACTAAAAGCATTTTCACAGGGATTCAGAAGAAAGTTAAAGAAAATGCACAAAAATAAACATGTGTTGGACTATATCATTTGTAATTGCGACTGAACATGTGTAGTAGGTCCTTGCAAGTTCATTGCTTGGTGCATTACTCTGTGTGTCTCGATTGTGATGTTGGGAGTGAAAATTGAAATTACTCAAATTTTAAATTCAAAACATGGATTTCGTACTCCAAACGCAAATATTAATAAATTTAAAATGAAGGAATTTAAGTTTAATCAAGACAGTGTATGATTTTTCAGTATTAGAATATCTAGGGTTTTGCCTCGACTAATTCTCATATTTTCAGGATATTGTGTGAAAGCGCTCTCTCCACACAAGTCAGATAAAATCCAGACTTTAATCACAGACGTGACCCAAGTGACTTACCAATAAAGCCAACCCTTGGATTTTTTACTAGAATATCGTGTTTTTTAAGTTGGATGTTGAAACTCAAGGAAATACTCCATCTATTTTAAAATAAGTGTCTATTTTAAGGAGTATAAATTTTTAAAAGGACACACAATTAATAAATTGTCCTTAACTTTTTCAAGTTTAACATTTTTTAAAACTTCAAGATATTCATGAAAAGATGTAAATTATTTTGTTTTAATTTTTTAAGTAGAAGAAATATTTTGGGACAACTTAATAAAAAATAAAAAAAAATGAATATTTATTTTGGGGGAAAAATATATTTTATTGTAATTATTTTGCACTTCATTAGATTCCAAATAACTCATTCCATTTTGTTTTTTGAAATCCACACATATAAAGTTCTCATTCATCTTATTAAACCTATACATGTACTTGTTCAAAATTTATACAAGAGATTTAATATAAATCTATTCATTTCAAATCTTTTGATCCAAATGGAACCTATATGTAAATAAAATATAGCATGACTAACAGAGAAAGAAAGAAAAAAAAAATTAAATAAAAGTACATGAATAGTGAAAATATTTTGTTACTTATAGTAAAAAAATTGTCTAGTCCTTTGTCTGCTATCTTAGAATTAAGGGGTTACAACGTTGGCACATTAATCTTAGTCTTAGACTAAATAAAAAAATTTCATTAGGTTGAGTACCAATTAATAGAAATCCACATGCATAGCTAAGAATAATTTTTCAAATCAAACTTTATTTAGGTCGATAACGAGAATAATTTTATTTCTAAAAATTATAATGTAGTAGTAATAAGGTTCTCAACTTCAATAATTCAGGTGAACAATTTATGTATGAATTCCTTTCAAAGTAAATTTCAAATAGCATAAGGATCAAATTGATATTCTAAAATTGAGATTAAAAAAAATTTAGTTAAAAACAAATTAATTATTTTTTCAATTTTAATTTTAAAACACAAATTTAGTGCTGTCAAATATAACGTCTTAGCCTACACATAATGCTGCGTGTGTGCAGGTGCGAGTGAGCGTGTGCGTGTATATATATTCGTAAAATGGCAACATAAGCTTCGAAGGTGAGAGTTCCTAGTCTCCTCTACAGCCCTACTCAAATTCATATTGTATATATTAGTAATATATCTATATATATATATGTATGTAGTGCGTATATATTTTCAAAGGCCCTGTCAATCGACTCATTTATAGGCGTATTATAACTGATGTTTCTGTGTCTTTAATTTCTCGTGGAATCTCTCTGTCTCTCTCACTTATCTACACTACACTGTGTTCCAATGTCAGTCTCATGTGCAATATCCTCAACGGAACCTTCATCAACCACTAACCCATTGTGAAAAAAATAAAAAAATAAAAAAAAATAAAATAAAACCACTAACCCATTACTCTACTCTAAACAACTCTTTTTCTTCAATTATTTCTTCTCTCTCTACCACATTGTTCACTAGTTCCAGCAAACGGTTCTGCTCTGTACTCTACACATAAAGCCCACAAAAATTATCTCTTTTGCTTATGGCTTTTCAGCTCGTGACCCATCCAAACAAAGCCAACACTCGTAATATACATCAATACATGTACGAAATGTAATTTGTGGTTCAGACCTGGTTTTGCTGAGATGGGTTTGAACCAATCTTCATGGTTGTTGATTCTGCACTGTTGGGTGTTTGTGGTTTTGTGTCTGAGAGTTCACTGTGCTAATTCAGAGGTCTCTGTTAAGTTCTTGGACAACCCTCCTGCATTCTCAAGCTCAAATGCAGCTACATTTGCTTTTCAAGTTTTGGTGGCTGCTAATGGGGAAACTTGCACAGATTGTAACACCAATTGCAAGGTTGGTTCTTGTGTGTGTTTTTTGATAATATTGTTTTAGCTTGTGGATGAGGTGGGTCTCGGCGCAACAATAAGGTTGCGCCATTGTGACATGTAGGCCACGGTTTTCAAATGACCCTCTCTATGCGGAGGTAAGGTTACGTACACCTGACTCTCTCCAAACCCTGCTATGGCAGGCCGGAAAGTTGTGCAGTGAGCTAGCCCTCTTTAGATTTTGCTTGTGGATCTTTCTTGTGTTTGTGTTAATAAATTATATGATTTTTATTTTATTTTCTTTTGGTTGGTAGATTACTATGTTAAAAGTGGGCAGTTGGCCTTGTTTAGTCATAATTGATGCTATAAATCTACTTTGAGAGAGATGGTTCGTAATGTTCTTGACAAGTTTTAATTAACCAGCATATCCGTTTTTTAAATTCAGATGTAATTGGGTTTGAGAATTTATTATGAATCACCTGACAAAATTTTGACAAATTCAGTTTCTTTGATTCCCATTTGTTTGAAATTTTCCTGTTAGAGATAATAATTAATGTTCATCTGCCGAGAAGCTAGAATGGCATATAGTCCATGTCCTTACAAAATTGTCAAGATTATCCATGCTAATGTCAAGTTGCGCGACTTGAAAAGATTTCAAGTTTCAATGTATTGAATTTTTCTGTTGATTTTCAAGAGGTCTCTTAATTTCAATTTTGTTGACCCCCCTCTTTCTCTCTCTCTCTCTATATCATGCACGCAGCTGGATGATCACATACCTTCAGATTGTGAAGCTGGAGAAGTGTCTTATACGGGATTGCAGGATGGAAATCATACATTTGAGGTGTGCACCAATGGTTCTCGAGGAGTTGGCTGCTCTACCTTTAACTGGACTGTTGGTAAAGAAACAATCCTTTATTTTTTATCAGTTCTTGTTATTTCTATTGACAATATATGTTTTTCCATCAATGTTTCTTTCGATTTTAAAAAGTTTTCACTACTTTAAATTACTCATAAAAGTATTTTAAAAAATGCCTCAACATGAAAATATTTTCTCCATGAGAAAAGTTTGGTTGAAGACGTGGAAGGCAATCATATTGGCAATTATTTTTATTTTCATTTTTAATTCCCTTGAAGAGGAACAGACTCTAGCTTCTTCTCCATGCCTTTTGGGGCAAGTGTGCATATCGATTTCAAATTCATGAATCATATTCATATAGGCAGTCAGTTTTTTATGGCTTTGTCTTCTGTTTGTTATTCTTTCTAATTTCAGTTGTACCTTAAACTTTGCAGACACGGTTCTCCCAACAGCATATGTTACAGCTGCAACATCTTTTACAAATGCTCCAAATGTTTCTGTTAATATTTCTTTCAGTGAACCCTGTACCGGTGGAGGTGGTTTTAGATGTTCGTCCATAAATGCGTGCAACGTGAGTAGGTCACAACAGAAACTAAATAAACATATCTATAATTTTTTGCATTCTCTGTTCTGTGCATGTGTATAGTAACTTTAATTTTGTTCATAAACTCTGGTTTTATGATAGGGTGGCTTCTTGTACAGTTTTCTCCCCTCATTAATTCGTTAAGTTGATAAAAAAAGACTAGTTAAAGTTCACATCAGTGTGATGAACTCCTATTAATGAGAAGTGTTGAAACATCTCCCTGGCCACAGAGTTACAGTCAAACTTTTTAAAATGCTTGAAAAGAAGAATAAAATCACATTTCATCAATTTCTTTGTTTAAAATATGTTATACACTCTTGTTATTCTTGTTATTGTTTTATTATTATTTTTTTTTTTATTTTTTTTTTTTCGCCAACATTTCTTGTAATCTTCTATTCTTCTTTATGATTACTAGTTCATCAGCAAATTAGGCATATGAAAGTAAGTCAACTATGTATAGGTTCTTTGCTTAGCGCCTGACTGAAAAATGTAATGAGATCTAATGGTAATTGTTCACTTCTTAACAGCTTCTTGTCTATGGTGCTGGCCAAGTTCTACCAACTACACTCAACATTCTTCAGCCATACCTCAAATTTTCTCTTGTAGTGAGCCTATCTTCAAACGATCAATATGGACGAGCGATTTTGGTGATGGATAAAGATTTCTGTACAGACAAAGCTGGAAACAGATTTACAAGAACAGAAAATTCAAGTTTCTACATACATTTTGGTGACTGTTTCTTTTATCTATCTTTTCTCTGTTCTCCTGAAAACATAATAGTTCTTGTATCTAATGTATGCCCCCAAAAATTACCTGCCTACTGATTGTCAATATTACCAAGTTAGCACATGGGTACTTCATCATGAACTATTGTTGAATGTCTCTAGATTTTCAACTTTATGAAAGATGTTGGATGTAGATTTCGATATGAGTTTGTTCGGAGGAGTCATTTTTCCAGAAGAAAAAGAATTTCACACATTTCTTCTTAAAGACATAACTAGCTTGATAGTCAACTTAATCTGATTTTTGGTGGTTGGATTCTGCAGATAGAAGAAGTGTGCTTGTCAAAATGAGGACTCATGTTCCTCAAAGGCTGCTTCAGCTTAACAGTGAAACTAGAACTGTGCAAGCAACCAATAATTACAAAAATCTACAGGTGTATTTGTACTTTTCGGAACCTGTTCGCAACTCATCTTCTGAAATTTTAAATGCTCTCCACTCAAGTCAAGGCTTTCTTCTTCCTATTAGTGGAAATAGCCTTAGAAATCGCAGATTTGGCTTTCTGGTCAGTTGAAATGTACATTAAGTGAATTGGAATTTTTTTTTTTCCTGAGGTTTATTTATCTGTTGAGAACCCATTTTTCATTGAATTTTTGCATGGTCATTTGTTTTCATTCTCTCCTTCCAGATTGAAAACACATCAAGCATGGCCATACTTACAGTCAGCCTTGATTCGAACTTGATAATAAGCAGACAAGGAACTTCAGTTTCTCCCGTTGTGCCAGTTACTTTCCTTTATGGTACATATTTCATCTGGAAGAAAGAACCTATCATAATATTTTGAAGGGAATAGAACGGGATTTTTTTTTTCCTCTCTTTTTTACATTTAAATAATGGACGAGAAGTTCATATGTTCCTTGCAAATTGACTTAGCTTTGTAAATGAGATTTTGCATATTTGAGATTTGGAATGTTCTTCTAACTGGAAAAGGGTTTGACCTTCAGATTCACAGAGGCCTACTGTGAGGTTAAGTACAACATCTAACATGAGAACAAGAGAAAACACTGTCCCAGTATTGATCAAGTTCACCAAGCCTGTATTTGGCTTCAATTCTTCTCACATATTTGTCACTGGAGGACACTTGCGGAGGTAATTCTGTCTCTATACAAGCCTTCAGCATATAAATAAGCTTACATTAATACATATGAATAAAAAGTATGCACATTTTTTTGTATATCATCAGTATAAATAATAAAAAAAACAAATGCCTAATCATAATCCAATGAATGTCCTAGCCACATGGAGTGCTGGGAGGGGAAGATTGGAGATTGACCTCCTCTTTATCATTATTTTGCACAGTGGTTGCTTTGGTACTCGAACTTTATTACTCATATTTTGTCGGCCCGAGTTTTAACCATTGCACCAAGCGATAACCCCTATTTGTATAAATAATGTCTTGCACATATACACACATACTAGGTATCATTAAATTATGTACACTATTGGGCCTGTTTAATTTTGGTTAAGGGAAAAGGCACTAGAATTAGCATGTCTTATGTTGCTAAAAGTTTTATTTTCTTTTCTCTGCACTTGTCCAGCTTTCATGAAGTGAGTCGGAACATATATGCTTTAGAGACACAAGTACACAACCATATAATATCTATCAGCGTTCCTGAAAATATCACTCGAGATGTTGCTGGAAACAGAAATCTAGCGTCTGATGTTCTACAAGTGAGGCACTGTAAGTATTTTATGTTTTCTGCTTATCAAATTCTGGTTGATTGTAGGATGTCTAAATCTTTTAGGAACAATATCTCTCTTTAGTTGTTTACTGATGCCCTGATCTGATCAGCAAACAATTTACAGATTCCGTGCCCGTAATATCTTTCGTGCTTTCCACCTTCGCAACTGCTGCTTTTGTAGTGTCATCTTTAGCTGCAGGGCTGCTCACTGTTTCAACTGCAAGCCTTCAGTCCGTGGGGGCATTTTCTAGACCTATTTTAACATCCGATCCTGCAAGGAATCTATTTGTAATATACCTATCTCTTTCAACATTCAAAAGATTACTGGTTTACTTTGATAAATTATGATCCACTGCAAGCTGGTTAAAGTGATTCATAAATAAAACTTGTATTTGCTATATATTAATACTCATTTTGGTTGCCAATAATGAAGAGGAATAGAAAATAAAATTTGGAAATTGTTTCCTCTATATTTTTAGCAATAAAACTGATTACAATAAAGAGTTCGAATAGATATCTATACCTCAAAAATACTTACTAAAAAAAAAACTGCTACTTCAAAAAATAATCATGGTCCCACTTTGGAATTTGGATTTACTTCTAAAAAATTTCTTCCACTCTAGATAACCACCCCTGAAGTCTTTTCCACCCCCTTGCTTGTGTTTTGTAAGAGATGATTCCAACCATCTCTCAATAAATGAGCTCTTTTTCAAACTAAAAATGTAAAAGATGGATGCTAAAATTGTGTGTGGACAGTAAATATGAAAGGAGAGAGAGACAGAGATAAGAGATTGAGACAGCAGAGAAATTTTGCACATATTGAGGATTTCTGTTAATAAACTTTTCTGAAACAGATATAAATCCCAGCTGTAGAATGTGGTTTGTGTTCGGACTCCTTAATAAGTGAAAGACTTGTATATATCTATATATATATATATATATATTTATTTTTCCTAACTGAAATTTGTCCTCCACTCCTCCATTAATTTAATTGGTCTGATATGATAAGTAATTAAAAGTAATTGTTATATTACTAATTATGCATTTTTCTACTTTGCTTTGATACAGAGAATTGCATGCCACATTCAGGTTTTTGCACTGTCAAGATGGTTGCCAATTACATTGCCAGTTGAGTATTTTGAATTCGTGAGAGGTTTACAATGGAGTATACCCTACTTCAGTCTCCCATGGGAAACAGAGCACATTCAGTCAGTCATGGTCGGCTCAAGTTCCCCGTCCAATTCACATTCATACGGTTCCAAAGTTTATGATTCAGGAACTATTAAGAGCGTCCAACCAGAAGTAAAGAATTTGGATATGGCAACTCCGGTCTATGGATTGCCGCTTACTCCAACGGAATACAGATCATTTTTTGAGGTCATTGTCCGTTATTTTTCCTGAAATCTATTTTTTTTTTTAAAGTTTCTAGTAGTGTTTTTCTTTCTTCCCTGATAGAAGGAACCTTTGCTAGCAGAACCAAAATATCAAACCGGAAGCTGAGTATATTTTGGATCCACGAAATTTAAATGGGTAAGTTGGCAGGATCTGTCATCCTTTCTCTATTTCACTGTGAACACTTTCTCATCTGTTGTATGTTTTCTTGAAAATTGGACGGATTCCAAATATGCATAATGACTGGAAGAAGTCAAAAAGTAGAAATAATCAAAATAAACTATAAGATAAATTGGGAAATTCAAAGTCAGTGCACCAACCATCTGAAATGTTAATCTCGTGTCCTTCGGCTGTAGAGAAAAATAATTTGATGACTATATTTAGTCTTTCCTCCATTCAGGTGCTAAGAAAGATTCTTTCTTTCCTTTTCCTTTTCTTGGTTGGTGAGAAAATTCTCTTATTTGTTTTCTTGTTTCAACTATTTCTATTTTTTATTTTTAGGTGGAAGGACTTCGATAGAAGCATGTTTTGGTTAGCTGTTATTGGTGGCTGCTTGATACTGTTGCATGCTTCAATCCTTTGCACTTTCAAATTCAGGAAGAAAAACCCAGAAAAACAGAGTAGTTGTGGAGCACTCATATTGCCACGATTTGAGATATTTCTTGTGATTCTTGCACTGCCTTGCATTTGTGAAGCTTCGGCATCTCTAGTTAGAGGTATCTCATATTATTAATTTCTTCAACTCCTTATTTTACACATCGAGGTTCAAGTTGAAGCTTTTCTTTTGAGACAATATATTGTTAGTCATGTCAATAGTATCGGGTGACAATATCTAGCAATGTGTTAGTATCATGAAATTTGTAACTGTGAGTTCAAAATTAATAATTTATTATAAAAATCTTCAGTTTACCAATATTAGTAGGGGCGGAACTACACTATATCATGGTCCCCTAAAAATTTTCAAAAATCTTATTTATGGCCCCTGAAAATAGTGATTTTGTAAATAAACCTTACTTGTGGTCCTTGAAACTCATAAACATCTTCAATTGGCTCCCCCAAATTTTCCATAAACTTATTTATTGGCCCCCAAAAATAAAGAGTTGGAAATAAACATAAGTTGTGTCCCCTCAAAACTCAGAAAATTCTTACTTCCTTACTTTTGAAAGTCTGAATCTTGAGTACGCATATATAATACCCATTATATGAATTCAAGAGAGAAGCAAATTACACTAATGTTCCCTATGTTTGATAAAAAAAATACAAGAACTTTTCTTATCACACAGTTTTGTTAGATTGCGTTTACAAGAAAAAATTTTAGAAATATTAGAAGCACAGACAATGCGCATGATGAAAAGTATCATGGTGTCTATTATCTATTTAAATTTCACAAAGATATATCTATTTTGAGAGGAAAAAGATTAAAAAATAAAAATAAAAGAAAAGGAAGAAGAAGTCAATGTATGAATTATATATAACTTGATGATTGATGAAATGAAACTAAAATTACTCCTTATCTTACCTTTCAATGTGTTAAAATTGGATGCGGAAATAAGAAATGCAAATAGGAAAAGGGAAGAGAGAAAACACAGGCATATACATGATTTGGCACTAAGGCCTACATCCATGGACTTATTATTAAGATCTGTATATTGCTTGAGTACTAGGAGCCTATATATAGGCATGGTAAAGATAAGAATATATGGAAGGTGAGTCAAAGGAAGCACCATGATTGGTGGAGGATTTTGCTCCACCGTTATATAGAAATATTTATAATTGAAAGGAAATTGACCAGATCACCATGATTGGTGGAGGATTTTACTCCACAATTATATAGAAATATTTAACACAATGATTTTGAATAATTTCAATTGAAGAAAAGCATCATTGTTTTAGAAAATTAGTAGATTTATTATACATTTAAGAATTTTGGATAACATAGAATAACCTTGTTGACAGCTAGGGAAAAAAATTAAAAAAAAAAAAGAATAACCTAGTTGAACAAGTAATGAGTATAACAAGCTAATTTTGTCAATAGGAATGCATGAGAACGTATAGGCAATTGATCCGTAAACTTCACATAAAGCATAAGTAACCAAAATTCAAAAATGTTTCAAAATAAAACTTGATTGTAGTTGTTGAAATCTCTAGCCTGTTCAAGTACATCACATAAGAAAGTTGAAAGGTTCACATGGGTAACTAATGCATTTACGTAGTGAGTTACTAGATGTCCAAGAGTTATCTTAGTGGGAATACCGGTATTAAATGTTATCGATTAAAAAAATACATAAATAATGTATATAAAAAATCAAAATTATAGATATGCTAATGCTTAATTGGAGAGACTTGTGAGGAAAGGGAAGGAGGAAAAACTAAAGTATTGCAGGACCAAAAAGACATTAATTTCAACAACAATAATGATATCATATGTGCTAATATTTATAGTTGTCACTTGTCAAATGATAGATTCAATGTTACTCCTTGCACAAGTTACTAAAAATTCTCTATTTTCTTCTTGATAATTGTTTTTGTTAAACGAGATTTAATAAAGTTAAAATACATTTTTTCTTGATTTTCCGTCGCAGTAATAATATATCTTTCCGATATGTGGAATTAAAGTACTCAAAAATGTTTTCAGAAATTGAATTTAGAAAAAATCAAAACCATTTGACAAAAATTTGATTCTTTAATAATGTTTTAAATTTACCACTTCTTTACTTACCAGTATCTTATCATTTTCTCTTCTCTATAATTTTTCTTTTTCATATCAATTTATTCATCATTTTCTACTTAGATTGTATTTTCTCATTCTTTGAGTCGTATTTTCCTCAATATACATACTAAGACTAATACTATAAAGCAAAATATATTACAATTGATTTTAAACATTTTAATTACGTAGTATTGGTTCAGCCCCCCAAACGGAAATTTCAAGCTCTACTGCCTCAATATTATAGATGCACTTCACAAGCTCATCTACTAGAGTGTTCATTGTAAGCTTGAGCTACATTGTTGGACATATTCCTTGAAAGTTTAAGCTTTTGCAGTAATTGGTGTTCTAACATGATATAAAAAATATGGTTCTAGGAGGTCTTAATAGAAGTCCCTCCATTTGCTTTTGTTCCCTGCTATGCTAGTTTGCACTTAGTCCTATTTGTCTACCTCTTTACACGCGATATGGAGCCAGTGTAATTTTTATATACATTGTTGAGCTTAAAAGTTCTACATACATTGTTAGGTTTATTTTTCATAAGCTTAAACTTTGGGTATGGGTGGTGTCTGAACATACTTATCACTTCATATTAGTTTATACGCAACTTTGGACTCTAAACCAGTGCAATCTACCAAAACTCACTAATTTTGACTCTGAATGTGGAAATATCATGATTTGATATTGTTAGAATATATTCTATAATAACATATATTGTTACCATGTATTGTTAGAATATATTCTATAATATATCATTACCATATATAGCATTACCTTATATGGTAGCTATCTTAACCTACCCTCATTACCATATATAGCATTACCTTATATGATAATGACTTGCTCTCCACACATGACCTCTCCTATATAAACCCCATGTACTCTTGTATTACATATCTCATACATCAATATAATACTATTCTCTTTATTTCTAACATGGTATCAGAGCTTTTCGATCTCTGGTAAACAATCTACCAGTTTATCGTAGTCACCACCGGGGATGGCACCATTAGCCTCATCCTCGGCGGCGGCGATCAACCAACAAATTCACGCTTCCGCACTCCAAGATCTTCATATGCCCCGTTCAAGGAAGCCTCGTTGTCTAAGTCTTCCTTCGGGAAACCAACGAGATGCCTCGTTTAGAGAAGCCCTGCCTAGAGATACCCTGTATAGGGAAGCCTCGTTGTTTAACGAGATGCCTCGTTCAGAGATGCTCAATGTGTCGGATCAGCTCTGTCACTGCACCACCATGCGCCTTAAGTGGTAATCCCACTATTCCATACGCTTTCACGTGCGCCAGCAGTAATCCCGCACCTCAACGTGTCAGATCAGCTCCATCACCACGCGCCATCAGTGGTCATCATGTGCTCACACGCGCCTTCAACGTGGTGAATCTTCACAAATTCATCACCCATCAGTTTATAGTAGTTACCACCGAGATGGCAACATCAACCTATTCACGCTCCACACCTACCTCCAAAATCTTCACAGATCCACCCTACGTCACCTGACATGTGAGCATTGGTGCAACGTGAGACACATTCCGCAACGGTGCCAGTAGTTGTGCCACATCACCTACCACGTCAGTTGCCACACAGCAAAGGTGCCAAGTCAGTTGCCACGCAATAGAGGTGCCAAGTCAGTTGCCACTTCAGTTGTTATGTCATCAACCACGTTAGCGTCGGTGCCACATTAGCTGCATCAGGGTGAAAGGATTGTCTTCAAACTTAAGATGGCTTCATATAACCTACCTTGACTTTGAGGGGGCTGTTAGAATATATTCTATAATATATCATTACCATATATAGCATTACCTTATATGGTAGCTATCTTAACCTGCTCTCATTACCATATATAGCATTACCTTATATGGTAATGACTTGTTCTCCCCACATGACCTCTCCTATATAAACCCCCATGTACTCTTGTATTACATATCTCATACATCAATATAATATTATTCTCTTTATTTCTAACAGATATGATCATCATTGATTTGCGTAATTTGCAATATCTTAGTTGGCCTATCTGGCCATTTTTCTGCATTTTATCTAATTGCTATTATATTCTATGACTGATTCCGAGACATGCTGTGGAGTGTAAGTACGGTGATTTTAATTATTGTGGTTGATTACCAGTCATTTCCAAACTATAATAAAATGTGATACTTTTTTCCTTATTCATGAACATGATTTTGCCGCAAAATCATAATTAATGGAGTCAGATACAAAATCTCTATCGTTGACTTTTTCGGGCTGGATATTCTTTCTACAAAATCCTGTTGTGAAGTGCTCTTGATGAGAAAGAATTTTTCCTGAATTTGATAAGAAAGAAATATTATTATTATTATTATTATTATATATTTTAAACTATTTGAAACTCACACGCCCATTTTGTCCCTGTGGGGATTGAACCTTCGACCTTTTACTTTCGAAGGTGAGGAAGTACCACTAGGCTACAACCCTTAGGATAATTTTATTTATTTCAATTGCCTTAGTCCAACTATTTAAATAAGCAAGATAGTCTAAATTAAAGTTAAAAGGCTTAAAAATTAGTCAAACCAAAACAGAATATGAGGAATGTAAATTTAGTAATGCTGTAGAAAATGATAGTATAACAATTACCATTCAATACAAGTAATTTAGTAGTATTTTATGTGATTAAAATACACCAAATAAGTTAAAAGTGAAAGTACGTAGGACAGTCATTAGACCACTTATTTTATAAGGAGCTGAGTGGTGGGTCTTAAAAATGAAGCAATAACACGAATTTATGTAGTAGAAAAGTGTATAAGGAGGTGGATGCTGGGAGTAACTAAAAGAGAAGGTTGCTAATCAATATGTGAGAGATAAATTCGGAGTGACGCGTATTAGGAGAAAGTAGACTTAGGTGGTATCGATGTATTAAATGCAAACCTGAAAATGTTGTGGTGAGAAAAGGAAGATTGGATTCCATAGAAGGTAAAGGACAAAGAGGTCGACCAAAATCAACATGGGATGAAGTCATAAGAAATTATCTTAAAAATTTAAATCTAATGGGAGAAATGGCTTATGCTAAAAAAAGATGGAAAAATGAATTCATTTGGCCAATCCCATTCATACGAAATAAAGGCAATGATGACAACGACAACATCTAGTCAGAAACTAGTATAGTGTGCCAGACACATCAATCTTTTTCAAACCTACCTTGATCCATTATAACAAGGTATGTGTCTGCGGATGAGGAGTTTTATTTTTATTTTCATTTTAATATTTGCCACAAAACAAAATCTGTCCTCATTTCATATTTTTTGGCCAACTTGGCCTTTGAGTCAAAAAGTTGGCTGACTTTATTTTTCAACTACTTTTATGATTCAAGGAGGAGCATCCTCAGGGATTATAGTTGGCATTCTGCTATTATGTGTTGCATCTGTCGTGCTGCTAGCCTTATTTTTGTTCCTCTCCATTGGAATTACATTTGGAAAGCTGCTGCAATACAAGGAAGTACATCAAGAGGGCCAGAAATTTCACTGGTATCAAGATATTGTTCGGATAACTCTAGGTCCTGGTAAAAGAGGCCAGTGGACGTGGAAGAATCCACCCCATTCTGTTTGTCTAACCATGCTAGGCCCTCTATTTGAAGATCTAAGGGGTCCCCCTAAATACATGCTCTCTCAGATTGTTGGTGGGAATTCCCGGAAGCATGGTGATACTATAATCGCCTCTGATGATGAAACTGAAGATGCAGAAGCACCTTTTATTCAAAAATTGTTTGGAATTCTTAGGATATATTACACACTGCTTGAATCTGTGAAACGGGTTTGTCTTGGAATTATGGCCGGTGCCTATTCAGAGACCTGGTCTTCTAAAGCCCCGACGATTACCTTACTATGCATAACCTCATTTCAGCTGTTCTTCCTAGTTCTTAAGAAGCCTTTTATTAAGAAAAAGGTTCAGTTGGTTGAGATCATCTCAGTTTCTAGTGAGGTGGGTATATTTGCTACTTGTTTGGTTCTCTTAAAGAAAGAATTTTCATCAGGGGACGAAACAAAAATTGGTATCTGCATGATTGCACTGTTCATTGTCGCATTTTTAGCTCAAATGATCAATGAATGGTTTGCATTGTATAGACAGATAAAGCAGCTGGACCCGGCTGAGAACTCTTTCTTGTTTGGTTTGAAAACGGCTTCGATTGGATTTCTCCTATTTTTCATTCCACAGAAGTTGATAAAAAACCTGGACAGCATGTTTCCACAGAAGCAACGTGGGGATCACGAAACGGAGATCACTTGTTCTGATGACAGGCACAGGAGCCCTGGGAGTAGGAGCTCGGGTACCACTGATAAACCATGGCTAAAACAGCTAAGAGAACTGGCAAAGGCAAGCTTTAGTAGAGAAGGAAGTGGAGTTGCAACTGATCCTTCGACTAGTCGCCCATGGAGCTCATTCTGGAGTGGCAAGAGAAGTGGGAGCTCATCTCAAACTTCATCAGCAGATTTCAAGTCGAAACCAAGAGCCTTGGACAAAGATTTAGAAGCCATTTTTGCATCCAAGTAAGATCTTTTGAATACTTCTTAAATATTTGAATGGTCTTTCAGACTGGGTGAGAGGCTAGCTGGTTATAGTTCATCTTACATGTATAAAATTGTTGTGATGCAAATAGTCCTGTAGCCCAGTTTCAGAGGACTCGGAGGCAGAGCCTGTAATGGTTTCTATTTATTGAATGTAAAGCTTGGACTTGATTAGGTTCCATCTTTATTCCATCTGAAAATTCTCTCTCTGTCTCTGTGCACGCGCACGCTTGCATGCGTGTGCTTGCTTGTGACAGAGGAGAACAACCATTGAGGTCTCCAGCATAAACAAAAGTCAGCCTTACTATTCAGGATATAAATATATTTTTTTTTCTTATTGTAATGTGACTATACTTTATCCTTATTGTAATGTAACTATAGTTGTATAAATCATCTCCTTTGAGAATTTGTGTTTTGTGAATATTGGCCAATGTACATTTTGAATTTAAAGTAGTTGTATTAAAATATAACTGTCTTCCTTTTATTGTAATTTTGGAGTGGAAATCTGTACTCAATATAATTGCTAAAAGATCATATGGGAGTAAGAGAACCTTGTTGATGCCTATGCAACTGTTTGGACTACTGAAAAGCCATATAGAGAGAGAGACTGACGTTTTTCGGTGCAATTTCGATGAATCGGTTTTGACTTCCAGAGACTCATTCTCAATCGAAAATGGCTCAATGATCAAATTTCACCAATTAGCCTATGGCTACTTATTTTACTCAATGATCAAATCTCACCAATTAGCTTATGGCTACTTGTAATACATGCAGTTTTTCGGTTAAATTCCATCGTTAAGGGTCCCTTTTTGCTTCTTTTTTTTCAGGGCTGAAGGTAGACCGTCGAATTCTTTAGTTGGAGGTCTAATCAGACTCGGATTTAGCTGATTTTTTGTAGTTATTTTATTTCAGTGATTCAGATTTTATTCTTTGTTTTTTTTTTTTTTCCTTCTGTTTTTTTTAGAGATAGTACCAAATTGGATTGTTTTTCAAATTTTTTACTAGTATAAGATGTACTGGAGGAGCAGATTTACACAAATAATAATATTCCAGTTCTCTCTACAACTTGTGATTGTCAAATGCTTTAATATAATTCTCAATTTAGCTTCTACTTCATCATTCTTCCTTATAGTATAGTTATGAGTTCTTTATCTTTCTGATATTCACTTTAGTATGTCATTCACTTCATTTCTTTATGCAACTTGATATGGAAGTGGTTATGCAATGTATTGGTACACTATATTCTCATGAATTCAGTCTCCTTCTAAAGAAAAAAAATGCCTTATTTTACGAGTTTAAATGACAAATGTTTCCAAGGTTGCCCTATTGTGACTTACTGTCACGAATTTGAAATCGGAAACAATCTCTCCATTCAGAGGTGAGGATGTATACATCTTACCATTCTCAAACTACTAATGACGAAATCATCGTGCACTAGAGCTTGAGAAGGGTCAGATGAACCCTTCAATCTTCTTTAACAACAACCAGAAGGCTATTGAATGCTATTTTATTGTGGCATCTTGAACTCTTCTGAAAGCATTGAGAAGACATGAGAGACTTCTCCTCCTCCTTTGGGGTTTCCTTCGATAATTGACAATGTTTGTTCATCCAAATCAATCACTGCTGTACATAAGGTGTATAGTACTGGACCTGGAAATCAAGCAAGAATCATAACTAAAAGAGTATCAAAGAGTTTAAACAGCTTCAAATGATTTCCGAATGTACCTGTCATGTAGATGGGGTATTTTGCATCATCTATGTCTCCAAGAACTGAGAGGAAATCATTTCTGGAGTTTTTTGGTAGCAAAGCTGCTCTTTTTTGCCTGCTTATTGAGTTCTCGTCGTGTGCCTTGATTAAAGAAAATCCATGATTTTATATTTTATCGAGTATGGGCATGTTTGGTTTGTCGCTCGTAAAACAGTTTTATATTTTTAGAGAATTGAGAATCAGAAGGCTGTACAAAAACTTCTTGGTTCAGTAGTCTAAAAACTCAAGGCCTGTTTTTCAGAGGACTGGCTTTTATAGTTATTTGAAAACTTTTTTTTTGTTTTCTGAATTCTTGATAATTGTTTTCTGAGTTAACAAACCAAGCACGCCCTTTATTTTCCATGTGATTGTTCATATGAATTAATGGCATGTAATTTTCTCTTGTCCAATTTTTGAATCTGTGGAACATGGCTCACCAAATGTGGAAACATGGTTACCATTTCCTTGAATGAGCCTTCTATATATATATCAATGCACTCTACTGCTGTATTAACTTACCTGATGAACTTGAAGATGAAGATACATGTTGGCATGGAAGAATGGTGTTGCCCCAACCTCACGAACAGAAACTCGGCCTTTTGATGCAGTTTCAACGTTCACAATCCTACGAGTACTAATGTCAATCAGATTATAACTGTGTCCAATAGAAGCCTCTGATGAACGAATTCTCTGAAACACAAGCCATACATCAACACCTCCACAATCGAACAAGTTTCAAAGGCCTGAATGAAGAACAAAGACAGCATACCGTTAATGCATCATCAATGCTTGTTGCTTCAAGCAAGTCTCTGGAAACGAAATTCCGCCCAATGGCACCAGCCACAATCTCTTCCTCAGATGGAGGTACTGAATTCAATGTAAATGCCTAAAAAAATTCGAACTTTCTTGTTACTTGGAACTCAATCGTGTGAGTTTTATAAAATGAGTTAGATTTTATTCAAGACAAGATAGATTTTTTTGTGTGTAGGGTTGTTCCATGAATTGAATTTATTGGTTAAAATATTCCAATAGTTGATCATCATTTGGGTTTAATCTAAGAGGTCAGGCCTAACAAGTAGTGAATCATGGAACAAAAGTTACCATTAATGGTAAGAAGATAAGAGAATTTACCAGTCCATGGTTGTTAAAACCAAATGCACAGCTGGGGAGCTCTCCTGCATATGTGTAAGCAGTGAAAGATAGTCCATTCCACAGAGTTGCCCTGATCAGATAGCTGCAATGTCACATAAATATGTTACCTTTCGTTGTTAGTAAGTCTTTCATGTGGTATGAGTCTTGATACATTTATGGTTGAAAGAACCATAAAAAAGGGCTAGCCCAGTGCGCTAGGCTCTCGGCATTGTAGGGTCTGGGAGGGTCAGATGTACATAGTCTTACCTCCGCGTGGAGAGACTATCTCCGATTTCGAACTTGTGACCTCCAGGTCACAATATTTTTGTACTTGGAAAGAATAGATTAAGTTAGAGCTTACGTGTGACCGACTAGAGCAACATTAGCATCCTCATTATGAGCTGCAATGGCCATCGAATCGCTAACAACAAGAACATCAGAACAGTCATCTGAAGCAACACCACTTGAATTTATGGTTTTCTTGGGAATAAATGGCAGTATCTCCTTCCTGAAGTTGAGTAATATTAACTGAAACATGAACAAGTAGAATGTCACTATTACATTGACAAAATAACAGCATTAACAACTAACACTAAAAAATTGAATTGCTTTTTGGTAGCTCAATAGTACTTCAAAATCATTACATCAAGAATGGGCACATTGCTTCCATATGCAGTCCCCAAGAGTTCATCCCAATACCTCGGAAACTTGTTCCGGTTCGCGGTGGACAGAGCTTCAATGAGTGGCTTCGATTTTGGGGTTTGGGCAAAAGGGAGAAGTTGCTGTTGAAGAATTTGGTCTGTGGCCAACCTACTCTTTATCTGCTTGGAGAACCTCTGTCCTATCAAAAAACCCATATGGTAGGCATCTTCATAAGGCCCAACTTCAAACAATTCTAACTTTCCTCCCTCCATATTCGAGTTCTCCATACCAGCCTGTGTGTGTACTTATGTGTGGATGAATTTATTTAGGAGTACCTTATCTTGTATTTTTGCTCACATGAATGAGCCTAAACTGATGGTGTGATATCATGAAGTGGCATTGACATGTGACAACTTATTTGGACTTTTTCAAGTATAGCCCATTCTTTTTAGTTGGGCTTAAAGCCCATAATTCAGCTTATATACAGATTTGGGCCACCAATATTAGTATTTTTGCTAGGTTGCCCAACCCAATTAGCCTTCCACTCTTAAGCCATTCATGCTCCATTTCTCAATGCATGCAACTTCCAACGGAAAGCCAATAGCACTGCCCTTTAGGAATTTGGTTGTTATTGGTTTTTTTTTTTTTCTTTCTTAATTGGTACTCACACACATATGCGTCCACGGAGGCTCGAACCCCTGACCTTTTTTTAGAAAGCAGTAGCCTGGTACTGTCAGGCCATTGGCTTGTTGGTACAAAAATATTTTGGCGACAAATTAAGTGGGACCATAGCTTTTTGGATTTGGTAAATACTTTAATTATTAGCGATCTAGCTGGCTTGTTGTCCTACAAAGTATCTTGACCTTTAGATTATACCAAATGAATGTTCTAAATCAACCAATGACTCTTAATTCAATAGTGATATCCCACCATTAGTTTTTAAAAGTAAGTGAGACCAATTTTATTATATGATACTATTTTTATTAGATGGACTTATCAATGACTTGGTTATCAGTTTTTATAAGTAAGTGAAACCAATTTTATTATATGATGCATTTTTATTACATGGACTTATCAATGACTTGGTATGCCTCCCTCGTTCAATGTCTTCTTGCTATTGTAATAGCTATTTTTATTGATTTCCAAACACTTCTGTAAATGGAAAGCATGCAAATTCTGGCCATTTTCAATCTCAATTTTGGGAACATATGGGAAGTTATCAATATTTTTTTTTGGTAAAGTCATGTATGTAATGTCCAAAAACCTTCCATGTTAAAAAAAAAAAAAAAAGCCCTTATATTTTTCAAATTGAGCAAATAAGGGCATTTTCTCAATTTAAGAATTGAAAAGCCTAAAATGCCCTTAAAAAAAAAAAAAAAAAACACTTATCTACACTTTTTAAATAACAAGGGTTTTTTTGCACTTTACTACTCTCTTCTTCTTCTTCTTATTTATTTATTTATTTTTATATGGATCACACAAATGATCAAAAAAGAAAAGTTACAAATGATCAAAAAAGAAAAGTTAAGCGTTACTAACCTAAGTCACATAATTTTTCTAAAAGAGCGCGTCTTGAAGGGTGGACTAATCCTTTGAGTCCAGCAATAGCGGGTATCCTCCCCAGAACAACATTCTCTTTCAGGCCTTTCAACCAATCGATACGACCTCCGTTGAGCTGCTTTTGCTAAAACTTGAGTACTTGCTTGAAAACTCGCATCAGATATGAAACTTTGAGTATTCAGAGATGCTCTTGTTATTCCCAACAAGATGGCTCGGTAACTTATTGCTTTCTCACGCTCCATGCGCTTTTACTCATAATCCCCTCTGTGTGATTTAGACTTTGTCACTTTTATACTTTCGCTCTCGTAATTGCTCCGACTCCTGCATCTACACCCTCTGTGTCACTTGGCCAAGAACCATATAGCTTCAAGTCCTAACTATTCGGAAAATTGATAGATACTTTGCATGACAAGAAGCTATCCTCTCTGATTTCTTTATTCATCACTTTTTGATTTTGGAATTATAGACTATGTATGTGTTTGTGATTGGATCACAATAAAAATGACCTACTACTCATCGATGAGTAGATGAGTATTATCCGTAACCATATAGCTTCTAGTCCTTCTATTCGGAAAATTCAAAGATACTTTGTAGGACAACAAGCCAGCTAGATCGCTAATAATTAAGGTATTTTCAAAATCCAAAAAGCTGTGGTCCCACTTAATTTGTCATATACACCGAAATATTTTTGTGAAAATCAATTCAAGATCATGCATGGTACCTCTAATAGTCCAATTTGCTAGGGAAACACTTAACACCATTGGCTCATTCTTAAGCAATAGCATAACCTCTTGAGAGAAGTTGAAAAGGACTAATATAGATCTTTGAAGTAGTCACTTCACATACACTCACACATTCCATCTACTTTTTGTTTTCTAAAATTGACAGTAATAACTTGTTAATACTAAATTGAGTTGCATAATTACTGTATATATAATAACTAAGAATGCTTTAGAAATTAGATTATTCTAAGATTTTTTAAAGCTTTAGAAATTAGATTATTAATTCTAAGATTATTCTCTTTCCATCAGATATTTTTCTCTCGATCAAACGTGTTCTAAAAAAATACAATCAGATTCACAACTTTAATACACAGTTAGCCCAGATGGTAAAACATATATATTGGTCCCAGGGAATAAAGAAAACAAAATCTTTATGAATCAGTAATGACAAAAAGCTAATGTCACTTGTGTTTGCTAAAGACGGAGCATAGTGCTAGTGAGCTTTTGGATTTTGAGAAAAGGGACTCTTAAAGCTTGTATCCATATATGGTATAGTGCAAGCTAATATAGACAAGTAGGAATAAGTGAAGAGCAAGTGAGAGTACCTAAAAGGAACAAAACATAAGTTTGGCGGGAATTGTTTTATTATTATTATTTATTTCAGTGATTAAGTTTTTGGATGGGAAGAACTAAGAGAGAGAGTGGCACTTGTCATGATCAGGACATAGGAACTTTGCTAGCTACCCTTTGTTGCTGTGTACCTCTCTATAAAGAAGAATCCAAATGCATCACATTTTGAGTTTTCCTTTCTTTTCTTTCCTTATGCTGCCAAATTGTACCTACAAAGGAGGTAAGATAAAGAATAAATGAAGAGATGGAATAATTCCTTATAGGCATGTACTTTAGTTTTGAGTTGATCGAAATTACCCTAACTCACCCAAAAAATTTATATGTAAAGGAATAATCGTAGTCACTTTGTGATAGAGAGGTAAAGGAGATTGTTTTAAAATTTTAAGTAGAAGAATGGAGGAAAAGAAATTGAGTTATGATTACTGATTTTACCCTTAGGGTCAATATAGTATTTTAAACACACATATTATCTAATGCTATAATATATAGTATTTATATATTATCAAAATGTTTTATAATTATTTTTCCTCCTTCCTCTTCCTTTCCTTATTTTCTCTTGCTCTATGGTTTGTAACCCTATCTCTTGAGATCACTCATATCATCTATCTTAACATCCTCATTTCTATTTCATGAAATAATTGTTTTAGCCTTTTTTTTTTTTTTTTTAAAGCCCAACACTTTACACAATATAAAATAGTTGGCCTAACAGCTTTTATATATAAAAAATTCCCAACACTTTGCACCATTACCTCATTAATATCTGACTCTTTACTAAATTTGCATTCCATATATTTAGTTTTAGTTGTACAAACCTTAACACTTTTTATTCTAATGTGTTTATGCACCTTTCTAATTTAATTGCAAAGTTTTATTAGAAGTGTCAAACAGTACTAGGTCATCGGCAACATGCACCAAGGAATGTTTTCTTGTAAATCTTGTGTGATCTCATCTAAAATTACAGTGAACATATTTTTAATGTAGACCCTTGTGCAACACAAATTTATAGGAAAGTCTCTAGTCTCACTGCATGTAGTGTCAATTCTAGTTCCGGTATCTAGATACACATATCTTGTATATTTTACAATGTTTAAAGGAATGTTTTTCTTTGTAAGGCCCACCAAATTATATCTCTTAGCAGCTGCGAAAAATAAACCGTTGTAATTGTTAAACTGGTACGAACCAAACCAAACCGGTTTGGTTCGGTTCTTCTAGGTTTGGTTCCGATTCCAATTTCAAAAATAAGGAACCATTAGTTTATGGTTCACGAACTGAACCATAATTAAGGAATCGTAAACCTAAAAATATACTCCTTCCGTCTCATAAAAAGTGTCACTTTTGGAGAACCGTGACTCTCACAAATTGAACTGTCACGGTTCTTCAAAAATGACAATTTTTTTCGGGGACGGAGGTAGTATATTATAATATTAATAATATAAAACATAAGATAAGATTAGACTGTCTACATGTTTTTGTGCTCGGGGAGACCTTTCTTATAATCTCATTATGAAAAATTGTATGCATTCAATGTTATATTCTAATATTAGCCGTGCTTATCAATAAGGTACAACCCAATAACTTTCATTTAATGTTATACAATCTATATATTTCTACTCTCATTTTTAGCATTCAATTTTATATTATAATATATAGCAGGAAGGTACTATGTGTTAGAATATATTATAGAATATATTGTTACCATGTATGTTTAACATATATTATATAATATATTGGTACTTTATCATATAGGGTTTAGGTTTACTTACTCTCCACACGTGTCATCTCTTATATAAACCCCTATGTATTATCATATCATTAACATTAATACAATAAATATCATAATTTTTCATTCATTTATTTCTAACATGGAATTAAAGCCACCGTCGGGGATGACATTACCAGTCCTATCCTCGACGGCGGTCAACCAGCAAACTCACGCTTCCGCACTCCAAGATCTTCATATGCCCCGTCCAGGAAAGCCTCATTGTATAAGTCTTTACGTGTCGGATCAGCTCTGTCACCGCGCCACCATGCGCCTCAAGTGGTAATCCCATTCTTCCATGCGTTTCACGCACACCAGCAGTAATTCCGCACCTCAACGTGTCGGATTAGCTCCGTCACCGCACCATCAGTGGTCAACATGCGCTCACATGCACCTTCAGCGTGGTAAATCTTCACAAATTCATCACCTATCAGTTTATAGTAGTTACCACCGGGGATGGCAACGTCAACCTATTCACGCTCCGCACCTACCTCCAAGATCTTCACAGATCCACCCCACGTCACTTGACATGTCAACATTTGTGTAACGTTAGACACATTATGCAACGGTGCCAGTTATTGTTCCACGTCACCTACCACATCAATTGCCACGCAGCAAAGGTGCCAAGTCACCTGCCACTTCAGTTGACATGCCATCAACCACGTTATAAAATCGTGCCTCG